AAAAAATATTGGCCTTTATAAAGGTAAATGACATCCTGTGGTAAATATTAAAAACATGCAGATTTAAGTGTGTAAAAGCTGACAGAAAACTGATGAAAATATTGCTTCAGAATAAATTGTTTACACCACCAAAAATCTCGGTGATGCGACACTTTTGTTTTGTGGGAATATTTTGTATGTTTTGTCTGCTGATATGAAAAACTCACTGTATATCGTAATAACACATAGAATTTTTGACAGCGATGATATTTTGTTTTCTTTTTACATTTAAACGCGTTAAATATTACATATACGTATGTAATATAATGTGTATTTCCATCACAGGCTTGGTCTTAAATTTCACATAAGGTGGTATTAAAAAGGTCTTAAAAAGTCTTAAATTTAAATTGTTCATATCTGTAGACACCCTGTAGTATAAGGTCTTAGTTTTAGACTTATTAGATATTGCTTAGATACCTTTTTTGGCCAAATTTCCATCAAAGCAATTACAGAATGTATTGCGATAAGCTTGGTGAAAAAATTCATCCAAGATGGCAGACGAAACGAAAGAAATGTTAGCTAAAATGTGAGAATTTTATAACCATGTAACACCAAAAAATCAATGAAGATTGTTCAATCTATTTGAAAATTGCCTATTTTACACACTATTTGTGTTTGCTGTGGTTTTTATGTTTATTAGGGCATCATTTGTGTGTTTGTGATGTATATATTGGGTGTTTCTAATCAACCACCTGTAAAGTGACATATCTAAAGGTAACTGCCTGTGTAGACAATGGGCAACAAGGCAGCTCACTTTGTTTTGGAACAGACCCATTGTTTCCCACAATTGCACTTCCTTCATAAATGTATTTACACTGGCTCTGTGTCAGATTAAAAATGTAAATGTAAAAAACATCTGTGTAAATGCACCTTCGTTATATAATTACATCTTCAGATTTGAATTCTGTTATTTTACAGTGTATAGGAGGCTTTAGAGAGAAGGACACTATCTAGTCTTCATTCTTGATCAGATCAACATGTGTTTTAACAGTGATAAATCCTGAACAAAAAACCCTAGCCTTGCTTTGTGCTGAAGTCATTCCGTATGATGAAAGCCGACTCATCTCTCTCATCTCTGATCTAGACCGGACAAGACCTGACGGCGTGTGTTCTTGTCATCGCTCTTCTGTCCTGATCAGTCACCCACTGTTTAATGATATTAAATCACAACAGTCCGGATATTCTTCCTCACAGTCACACGCGCTATCACATGCTCCTCCATGTGGAAACATATGTCTGTGATTTGAATCAACCTCAGTAAGTGTAATGGCAGAGAGGAGATGATAGGCATCCCACATTAAATCTGTTAAAACCATATAGCGCTCATATTGATGGCCCTTAACGCACACTAACAGGATATTAATACTTCTTTATCCTTCTTATCTACACATTTCAGAGACTCTAAACACATTATTATATCAGTAACTGTCATAATCAAGTGTAGAGGCTAATCAGAGAGAACGAGGTGGAAAGAGATAAAATATACTGCCATTCTTTAAGAAAATGGACACGGTTTGAGTTTTAGCCCTCTTTATTTTCTCAACTGCACAAACACACACACACATTCACCACCAAAAATTAGTCCAGATTGAAGATTGTGGTCATATTAAACCCACTTCCTCTTCTTACCGCAGACACACACTTACACATTCACTTTGGCTAATTGAGGAAGCAAGCTGTTTCACACCACGTTGCTTTGAATGATGAGATTAAATGTGCCAATTGATTGATGTGGTACAGAGTTGCAGGTCTCACCTGAAGAACCAGAGGCGAACAATCTCACAATATTTACTGTTTCATTTTTGATTAAGCACAATGTTAATGCCATAAAAGATAAAAGAATATCTAAAACAAGATGTCTTGCTGAAAGCTGGGTTTTTGAGATCAGACCTGAAGGGAGAGTGGTGAATCAGAGAGGACCATAATTGCAGTCTCAGTAGACGTTGAGGTTTTTTAAAACTGTATGATGATGATTTGCTTCTGACACAACAAATCTGTTCCAAAACCTAGTGGGTTGCCTCATTTTCTGCTCTCTACGTAGGAAACTACCTTCTAAGGTGGCATCCTTACTGAAATAGATGATTTGAGACACTCAAGACGGGAGGGTTTAGCATTAACAAATGTTATTTAGCTAACAACTCTAATGCAGGGTTTTTTCCAAACTGGGGTTCATGAACCCCTGGGAAAATCACACAGGAACTAACCCCTGCTTACTGTTGTGCTCTTATGCTCCAGATAACTCTAAAGTGTTATCTAGGTGGGTAGCTCACTAGGTTTTGCAACAACTAAGAACTACCTTAGTCCAAAGCTTAGCTAGAAGACGTATATTACAATTAAAAATTTCATACTACACAACATAAGTAATGATGATTTTGTTATTCTACAGGCTGTAATCTACCCCTAGTTCTTTTCTTTATTTTCTTTCTTTCTTTCTTTCTTTCTTTCCATAAGCTGAGGTTGTGGCAGTGATTGTACTTTTGCTCCAGATTTTGATGCTATTTTTAGGGTGTGTTGGTGGGTTGGCTCTATTATAAAGAATGATGTTGGTGTGTGTGTGTGTGTGTGTGTATTATGTGTGTTTTTATTTCAAAATGGTCTGTGTTGAAACTGAAACGGTAATTAAAGTGTTTTGAACACAGGCTCACGCACACAATGCATGTGTATATCGAGTACACATCTTGTTTAAATTAATTTGACTAGTTTGATCTTTCTCAGACTTTATTAACATATAATTTCATCAATAATAAGTGTGCACATAAATGCAGATAGACCTTATGAAAAACTATACAAAAAAACTGGCAGAGCCTTGTAAAAAAAAAATGTATGCATACACACCCCAAACATACACTACTGTTCAATTTTAGAACTGTTTTCAACATTAATAATAATAAGAAATGTTTCTTGAGCACCAAATCAGCATATTAGAATGATTTCTGATGGATCACGTGACACTGAAGACTTGAATAATGGCTGCTGAAAATGTAGCTTTAGCATCAGAGGAATAAATTACATTTTAAAATTAGGGCTGTGCGATATGGACAAAAATCACGATTTATTTGATCAATTTTGCGATTTTGATTTTAATCACGATTTTGACACACTTACAGTCATAAAAGCATTCAGTGTGAATTTGAAACATATTTCCAAAGGAAACCAATTAGAGCTTTATCAAAAAGCTGTAACATGTCTCTAGAACAAACATAAGGCAAAATAATCACTAAGTAAAGGTGTAACAAAATGTCTCTAGAACAGACATATGGCAAAACAAAAATTGGGTAATCAAACCATCAAAACAACAAAAAACCCAGACTAAAGTCTCTCAAATAACTACAATTAGAACAGTGGCAGAAATTAGCTGCTTTAAATGTTTAAAAGTTTTCTGCTATGAAAACCAGCATGTCCACCATTTCTGGTTTCAAGCATGAACGTTGGCATATCACCACATTCCCTCCTTTGCTAAACACCCTCTCAGATCATGGTGAGCTTGTAGCTGGAATGCACAAATATTTTTGTTCAAGCTTGCTCAATCTTGGGAAGTTAATTTAATGTAGTTTCCACCACAGAAGAGGATCTTCCTCACTGTCGATAGAGGGAGTAAGCAGGTAGCTGTTCACCTCAGAGGCAATGGCTTCTTCAAGTTGCAGAGATGCTGGCATGGCTGAGACAGTCATGAAAAAGCTTCCCAGACACTGCCTCAGATGTTGAAATAGATTTGTTGTGTTACCCTGTTTTGCCGCAAAGACAGATCGACAGGGCTTGCAAATTACCTGGCTCTGTGATAAATCATCTCTCCTGAATCCAAAGTACTCCCACACCGCTGATGTTGATTTTTTGGGGGGGCACCAAGTCCTTTTCCTGTCCTGAACTCATCTTCCCTGTTTCTGTATCCTACTATCTGTCGTTATGCCCGGTTCTGTTTTCGCGCTCCATTTAGGCGTGCTGCATTCTGATTGGTTCGGATAGCATACTGCGGGAGGTCGGGGGTGCAGAAAAAATCGTGCTATAAAACAATTTGGCAATCGTGCATGCTCAAATCGTGATTTTATTATGATTTCAATGAATCAATGTAGCCTTGGTGAGCATAAGAATCTTATTTCAAAAACATTAACACTAATATATTGTGAATAAGACATTGACGTCAAGGGAAGTTAAGGGAAGTTAAATGCTTTCTACTCATTAATGGTTGTGTGTGGATATATTGGTAGGATGGTAAGCTGTACAAAGATGTCCCAGGACACCAGTGATTTCAGCCAGTGACACATGGTTTACCACACACTAGCTCTGACACACACTTTACAATCACTTATACACAAAGGGAAAGCCCAAAGCTTGCAGAATCAGAGATATTGTGACTGGTGTCTCTCAGTGTTCCAGATTGTTCTGGGTGTTTGTCAGTGCTCTCTCTGTACGTCTTTGTATTATTAAAAATAATGATTAATCCTTCTTAAAAGCAAATATCTCGGTTGCATGAGCATATTTCCGATACTGTTTGTGCAGCAAATCAAGCTCTGTTCAAGATGCAACACACATTGACTGCAGACAGACAGAGTCGGCATGAAATTGCAGAGTCACTGCAGTGCATCAATACTCATCAGAATACAACGCTCACAGCCTGCCAACTCGCTGACCTTGTGTGTGTGTGTGTATCTGGGTGTTTTTGTCTGGGTGTGTGTACGTTCTAAACCAAAAGATCTCTTTTGTGATGAAACATGTTTTTTTTCTTTCTGTCTCTCTCAGCCCAAGCTAATGGCAAAGGATCTTCTAGACCTGGTGGCGTCCCATTTCAACCTGAAGGAGAAGGAATATTTTGGAATTTCTTATGTAGATGAGACGTACGTATACCCAAGACATCCTATTAAATATTACATCTGCCTGTAATCTATGAGAAAAGGTGTAATCATGAACAGTTCAGCTCTCTGACTGTGCCAGGACTGGATGAGTGAGCATGCTGTGATAATTCCACAGGGAGATGATTGGCTTCCCTCTTTCTCCCCTCTTCACTTTCTATGACAACCAGCTCTTCATTTAGTCCTACACAGTGTGACCTACTGCTGTGCGACATTTGTTAGATGTTTGTGTGATTTCTTTAAGGCACACACTCACTCACTCAAGAGAAGCGTCCCGTCTGTTCTCACTGCTGGTGTGCTTGGTGGAATGTGTTATTTGTGGTTTCCAAAGATTTTGAAATGTTGTCAGGTGACCTTTGATCCAACCCGCTGTACATCCTTCCCAACATGGGGTTGACAGTTTGCATTCGCCCTGGACAACATGCAAATGGACAAATGCATTTCTGTCTTCACTCATGTTCTCCAGAAAATCTCTACTTTTGGATTTATATTTACCTTTTAAAGATTATATATCTGTGTGCAATCGAATATCAATGCAATACTTTCCTGAGTGCTTTTTGTCATCACTGGCTAAATTATGCATGAAAATGCACATGCGATGACTTCTTGAACATAAAACAGCCCTCTTTTGGCTCATTTTCCACATGATGTTTTATGACGTTATGTGGCGCTATAAATGAGAAAATAAGATGTTGCAAGACATTTCCGGTTGCTGACAGATGTTCTCAGTCATTTCTCTTGGGCTATGTTTCAGGGGTCATTTCAGCTGGTTGCAGTTAGATCGTCGTGTTCTGGAACACGAGTTTCCTAAGAAATCTGGACCCATTGTGCTTTACTTCTGCGTTAGGTAAGTACAGCTGCAACAAAAACACAACAAAACGACAATAAACGTTTATATGTTTATAAATATATATAGATAGATAAATACATACATACAAACATACATATTTCTTATTTTATTTATTATTAATATGAATAGGGCTGGACAATAATTCAATATCAATATGTATCGCGATATAATTTTTTTCAATAACGGTGATATGATTTTTAAACACATTTCCGATATTTCGATATACATTACCAGTGTTTCCCATACATTGATTTATTTGTGGCATTTGACTTTGTTGAATAAACATGAGCACTGTGTGTTTCAAAATCAAAACGTGGCGCGGGTGTTTTATATGAATGTATCTCTGAAGGGAACCGACTGTCTTCAGAAAAGTTTCGATAGCATTTTCATTTGATCTGATAAAGTAGCGTTTATGAGCGGAGCTGCTTTGATTACAGCCGTTACCGGGGAAACCGATGTTTCTGCCGCTCTCAAAGCGCCTCCTGCTGGCAGACAATCAGTTTGCATTTTCAATAATAAGCCCGTCTCCAGCAGCATTTCCAGTTTTTGTTGTTGTTCAATTTCTTTGTTTGTTTTCTGCAGCGACTCCACTTTTCATACCCTATATATATATATATAATGTATAATAAATATTTATCTACAGAGAGAACAAAATATAAATGTCCATATTACTTCAGAAAATCCCAGCTGAATATTAAAAAAGAAAACACTTTAACACTTCCAGCATGAATTAGCGTCAACACTTCAATCAAAGTGTTTTCGTGTTGGGGGGGTTTGTGTATGTGTTTGTTTATGGTTTCAAATTAGCAGGGTCAGTAAGCCACAGCTCACTGGCAGTTACCGAAAACACAGCCAATCACAATCTACCGTTCCTCTCATTAACACCCCCAGCAATTTGAACACCATGCCAACAGCAAAGTGTTAATCAGACTGGGTTTGAATTGCAGAGCATGAGCAGATATCTGCTAGGAGGGTTGATTCGTTTAGATTTTAATGGCATCATCTTCAATATATTACCAATACAAAGAGCAGCCTTTATATTTATTGCTCTTGTGTGTTTTTATGACTCTGTCTGTGTGCAAGAGAGTTAAAGTGGGCACATTTGTGTGTTTCCTCACAGTATTTTACTGTGTAAGTCGCACTCAGCACACAGTCATACATCACCACGCTCGCTGTGGGTGGATGCTGGTTTATTGCTGTCAAGCTCAGCATTAAAATAGCCCAGCATTTCACCCATTTGTTGGGACACACGTGGATTGCTTTTCTCTCTTTCAGTCTATTCCACTTGCATCACTTTGCTTTTCTGGGTCACACACAGACACAAACACTTAAATGCATGCATACGCACACATCTATTTTGCTCTAATAGCTGCATGCGGAGTTGTATGTCTTTTGCTTGAGCTATTGCATGTCACAGGGTGGCGCGCGTGCGTTGGGCAGAACTCCGCGGAACTCCGCTGTGTACGTGATACAGAGAGCGGTCCTTAAAAAGTCTTAAAATGTCTTAAATAAAGTTTTCCTAAAATAAGGCCTTAAAAAGTCTTAAAATGTCTTAAATTCAGATTCAGTAGGTCTTAAAGGGGTCATATGATGCGATTTCATTTTTTCCTTTCTCTTTGGAGTGTTACAAGCTCTTGGTGCATAAAGAAGATCTGTAAATTTGCAAAGACTAAAGTCTCAAATCCAAAGAGATATTCTTTATAAAAGTTAAGAGTCAGCCACACCCCCCTAAAACGGCTCGTTCGAACACGCCCCCACAAATGTTACGCCCTTTACCATATTGTGATGCCCTGTCTGGCCGGTGTTCTGACAAATAATGCTACCTATCAGATTATGCTACCAACACTGTATTTATCCTACTGTAAGGGTAGGTTTAGGGTTGGTGTAGGTGTACATGTTAATAAAGCCTCACTTCAGTGTTTCCCCTAGGTTGACGCTTTTTTGGTGGGGGGGGGCTTTTTTCTGGACTCCTTTTTAATGGTTAAATTAAATTTTATTAATCAAAAAGCATGTCTAATTAATTAAAATCATGAAACTTAAACAATTTAACATAATTTTTTTACAAGTTTAACAAATATTACATGTTTAGGGCCCTATGAAATGTTTTATTTTTTCCAACCTTATGTTTTATTGTTACCAAATTCTGTTTTAGCATGTCTAATTACCTATTTGAAAGCATAAAAACAAGTTTCATTTAATCTTACAATAGCCTTATGATTTTTTGCTCAGAAATTCTGTGTTGTGTATTTACATTTTTTAAGGCATAAAACATTCATTTAATCTATCGTTTAAGTAATGAAAATTAAACAAATTAAATTTTTTGGGAAAATAAAGGTCATTTAATATAACAATTAAAACATTGAAGAAATATTGTATGATTATTCCTTAAAAATAAGGTTTTAATAATTTTAGTAGTAGTAGTAGCAGCCTGTTACATACATTCTACTCAACAATAGTTATACATTTCTGCCAATGCCTTCAAATTAAACCGAAGTTTTATTTTGACGGGTTGCTGTGAATACCTTTACATTCCTGTGTTTATATGATATGAGGATAGTTTTACTCAAATGAAACGGTCAAATGCTCATGAAGTGACTCTCAGAGAAGTTCTGGAGATGTTGTTCATGTATTTATGTCCTCATTTAGTGAGACGGCAGACGCTAAAATCACCTCAAGCGTCACGCGTGCTTCAGTACAAAACAAAACCGCACGTCTGCGCCATTCATTAACACAGAGACACGCAAAATTCATTTAAATATGAATCGTTTTGCAGACTAATATTTACAAATACTGGTGGGAGTGTGCTCACTTGTGTGCGCGCGTACGTGTGTGTGTGTGTGTGCGCGCGCGCGCGCGTGCGTGCGTTGGGCAGAACTCCGCTGAACTCCGCTGTGCATGATACAGAGAGCGCGACCGTAACGTAGAGACCGAAATGACATGCCGTCGTGTAAATAAGATAAAAAAACAAGGCTATTTAGTTTGCTTAATAAAAGAACAATGTATAGACCTGTTCTATCGGAAAGGTAATTTTAAATGACTTCTGTTGTGATCTGGCGCTATAGAGAAAATATCATTAAATAAAATTAACTTGACCTTCAAGGGGGGCGGGCCGCCCCCCTAATATAATGACAGGGGAAACACTAAACCTTATTAATATCATGCTAGAAGCTAAATCTGATAGGTAGCACTTTTCGCTATCGAATTATGCTACCATCTGTTTTAATGGGAGGTAGCAAAATCTGACAGGGTAACGTTAGCACAAATCGTCAGAACACCGGAGCGACGACACAAAAACATTAAAACCCATTATAAACGAGGCATTTGTTGCTTCCAGTGGGGACATAATTACGGATTATAATGACATACTGTCTTTTTATGCGTTGCTTTGCAGTGCGCCACGTAAACATAAAACCATGTCTGCATTTGTGATCGGAGAAATGACAAACAACAAGTGCTACTCTACACTGCTCAAAACTCACGTTTGGATCATCAGTGGCAAATTCTTTAAATATAAAAAACTTACTTACAGTCTGTGAGTCAGAACAGCCGGCATTGTAGTCTACTCTACCAGGATCAGGAAACAGTCCTCCATAAAATGCGATGGACACATCTGAATATTTAGGTTGAACTGTCTCTTTGGATTTGAGACTTTAGTCTTTGCATCTTTACAGATATTCTTTATGCACCAAGAGCTTGTAACACTCCAAAGAGAAAGGAAAAATTGAAATCGCATCATATGACCCCTTTAACAGTCAGCCATAGATTCAAAGCATGTGTCTTCGTGTATAATGTGTCGTAGGGTTTATTTTAAGTTCATTGTATGCCTCAGTGTATGTTCAAGGTCATATTATCAGTTTACATACATCTGTACATATATGTCTATGCATGTGTGTGTCTGTGTAACAGTCCATGTGTGAACGTCACAGCTTCAGCCTTCAGCTGAAATGAAAAATGCCATGCTGAGAACACTTATTTATTTATGCAGATTTTGAGACAATTACTTATTTATGTGTTTATTTGTTGTTGTAGTTTCCGCTAACTCTAATCTGACTGCTAAATGAAGCTTGCACAGTGGAAATAGTTTTCTTTTTGTGGGTTTTGAGAGGGATGGAGACAGCAAGAGTATATAGCGTTTATGATGCCCTCTAGTGATTGGTCTTTGAGTCTGCGTATTTAATACATTGTTTCTCTCAAACTGAATGAACCTGCTAAAGTGGATTCAGAATTGGTTACTCATACTGAACAATTTTAAATCACATACTCGCAACTACACAATCGTGTTTGGCTGTCTTAATCTGTGAATTGTGTATATTGTAATGTTTTTAAACTTTAGACATATTTTGATGTACATTTTTTTTCTCTTCTACAGGTTCTACATAGAAAGTATCTCTTACCTTAAGGACAATGCCACAATAGAGTTGTTCTTCCTCAATGCAAAGTCCTGCATCTGTAAGGTAAACTGTTTTCACTGTTCTATCACTAGAGGGCAGTATTAGCTAATGCCCCTTTACATCCATTTGTTACTTCCATCTGTGCCCATGGAGCACCTTATAAATGCCACATTACAGACTTCTCTGGAAAATGACATCATGGCAACGCTGATTGACTGATGGTACTGTAAGAATGTGCAGAGTACCAAGCTCTTCACTAGCACGTATATTAACATATATTACATGTATTATTCATGTACACTATGATTCAAAAGTTTGGGGTGAGTAAGGTATTAAAATAATCTTTTATTCACCAATAATGAATTGAACTGATCAGAAGTAACCATAAGGACTAGACATTGAGTGCGTTTACATGCACCCTCATAATGCCATTATAATGGGATTTTGGCAATATTCCGATTAAACATTACCTCATGTAAACGCAATACTTTGATCTAAATAATGCGATTAAGCTAACAGATTGTAAATAACAGATTATAATGGAACTTTGTGAGATTCATCACGACACAAAATAACCTTCCAATACGTCTGTAACCATGTTTTGCATTTGATGTAAGTGGGGAGTGGCCAGTAACACACCTATGAGTTCATCATTTGTGCTGAGGACTATGTGAATAATGACGGTAAATGTAACCATACTTCTGCAAATAATCAGAATGTTGAAAATTGCATGTAAACTGGAGAGAAGAGGTTTGCTCGTGTCATGTAAACATCTTACTGTGATTAAAGGCAGGGTATGTGATTTTTCAAAAACACTTTAGAAAACTGATTCGGGCCGAATAGCAAAACAAACTTGTA